TATTGATGCTGCTGAATAGGGTTAAGGAACGCCGCGGCAGCCGCGGAGGAGGAGGAAGAACCCGCCTCAGAAACCATAGCGGTTGGGGCGGTTGAAGCCGGGACAACCGTTATGGTTCCAATCGCTTCATTAGCAGACTCAGCATCAGCCGGAGCAGCATTGGAAGATTGGCCAATCTCCATACCAGAATTCTTCATGATCTCAAGACTATGCTTAACATCTTTACGAAATTGGTCAATTAAAAAACCTAAATCATTAAGATCCATGAGATTGAGATTAAACGTCCCCATGCTTCCGATCAAACAATGAAACATGACTTCAGTCATCTCCCGCTCCCTATTCTCCCTCCTTTGTCTCTTGAGAAGCTCGGTTACTTTCTCAATCCTTTGTCTGAGAAAGGTCTCTTGGTCCACCATCTTCTTCTGTTGGTCTATCTCCGGCATTGACCTGAACTCAGCAACCACATTTTGGACACCGGAGCTTGATGGCCACACCACAGGATCGACATCGTATGGACTGTAGAGGATGGCACATGCAGGGATATCGCATAGAGTCGTGATCTCGTTCAATTTCTTCATCAAACCATTCTTTCTTTTCCTGAAAGTGGTTTTCCTCGAGGAATCGTTGGCGATGAAAGCAAGTTTCACCTTCTTCCTCGTCATGATTTTTTTGGCTTGTGTTTGAGTGTTTGTGATGTGTATTGAGTTGGTGGTTGTGTTGAGTTATATAGTGGTGAAGGGGTAAGAATGTTTTTGTCAGAGACATTACTTTCTGAATTTACAGTCAGTGATAAGTTCATAATACATTAATTACAGCTAACTAAAAGTTGTCAATTAATTTAATTATTTTTTATTTTTTATTTGACTAAGGAATTCTCTCTATAAAATTGAATTATATTTAGTGAAAATGTTAAGTTATTTAACAACAGAGAATTAAGATTTGGTTTTCTAAATAGGTCAAAGATTGGTCTTAAATACATTTGTGTGATTAGTTTGCCTTATTGGATACTTTGAATGTTGGGTTTTTGACTTGTATATTAACCATGAACCAAAGCATTTATTTGGATATAATCGAACTAAATAAAGCATTGTAGAGATAATTCTCTAAAAGTCGTAGTTATAAATCTTGTCCTTTTGTATCTATATATTATACCCAAAAAATGTATAGCTGTTTCATAACTTAGCATTTGGAGACTAAAGACCTAAAATTAGATGATATTTCTTAAACGATAAGAATGTAATAAGTTAGATTAGTGTAGGCAAGTTGAAAATAAATTAAAAACAAAAAGATAAGAGACTATATTTTGGCCAGCATGTGCTGTCATTGTAAGATATATAAGATCACATTCTTGGTAATAAATCTGCTTATATTGAAAAATCAAAAGTTTACAAAACGTATAATTTTTTTCTAAACTCAGCAATTTATCGATAAATGTTGATAATGTAATTCTTGGTAATAATTTTTTTCTAAACGTATTAGTTCTTATTTATTATATTCAAATCTTATTAAAAACATTTTAATATTTCATTAATGTAATTAGAATCCAAGTATACACCTAAGAATATTTAATAACATTTTAAAACATGTACTTTTAGTTTTTAAGTTTGTCAGTTTCTAACTATTTACTAATGATTCGGAATTATTTGATACAATATAGTAGTGGAAAATGTGTTATTGGATCAAACTTAGCTTGGTTCATAACATCTCATTTAGTAGTATTGAAGATTAGCAGAGAACAATACGTTTAGTGAAGAAGAAAATGGGAAATCTTGAATTATGAACATAATATTGCATTTTTAAAGGCAGATTCTAAATTTATTTATTTGATGAACAGATACATTATGCTTTGCAAATAAGAAATCTAATGGAAAAATCTATTCTAATACTATTTCTATTTGGGAAATATATAGCATTTATCTTAGTCATATATTTTTGAAAGAAAAGTATCATTTGTAGCACCTATCTTAGAAGTAAAAGATATTTTGATAATGCGAATTTTGAGAAAGAAGAAAATATCAACTATGAATTGTTTTAGTCGTTACTTAAGTTTTACAATGATCAG